AATCTAGTCCAACTCTCACAAAATAGTTGTCTCAGGCAGACTTTTATTGCATAGTTAAGAATCGTAGAGTAATAGTTAACAAGAACGAGAATCTAATCTAAAGTATCCTGAGCTTCAAAAAAAGTGAAGTCTAGCCTCCAAGCTTATCTATGTAGTTCTTAAATACATTTCGTTTAATCTATTTTCGGTAATAAATTTTTTTACGATGAGACTTGATTCATTAAACAGAAAACTTTTCCTCAAATAGATCATCAATATGTTTTACATTACGAACCAATCCGCTAGGAAAATCATTACTCTTCGATCAATGTCCGTATTTCATAATTATAGGATATCAAGTCTCATAAACCAATATAGCATAGCTAGCTGGCTGCCTAATATTACTAATCAACAATTTCTAATATAATGTGGTAATTAGCAATCATCTAATATCAGGATCACGATAATATCTATTCTTAGGGACCTAATTATATCAAGTATAGCTATCAAAACACTATCAAATATGGGGTGCATCACAACAACATGGTATAGGGCCTATATTATAATAGTATAGGCAGCGTAACAAATTACAGGATTATCAAGACTAATTATTAATGGCATATCAGATTATCTTGACGAATGAGCTATTTTTGGTCTAAGTTATGCATGACATCGAATAGCAATTTTATTACTTTTAAATCTGCTCGTAATCCTTACATTAATATGATTCATTGTAAAGTTAAGTTCTGCAATAATATTAAATCATCGCCTTATATTATCGGGTCTATCGCACAAGAAAAAGCAATATGAATGGGTATAAAATTAATATTTTAAATAGATATCGTCATTATTTTAACTATTTCCCTTTCATGTAGACAGTTTGAAAGAAATATGGACTGGAAACGTAAGAGCAACGGCATCTTAAATGCTAACAACCTATTATAATTGCTTAAAATTTATACCTGATTTTACTCTTACAAAGAGTAATATTAGCTTGTAATAAGTAAAGTCGTATAAATCGCAATTTTTAATATTCTAGCTGAGTATATTTGAAATGGACGATTATAATCTGAATACCGAATAATTACCGAAGATGCCCTATCAAAGATTCTTAATCGGTATAAAATATCTAAATTTAATCATATGAGGATGAACTGAACTAAGGTAGCATAGATAATTGACAAGTATATTCCTTCATGAATCTTAACATACTGTTCTTACTTTTAGTAACAAATGACATAGAACATATCTAGAACCCGCGAAATAATGACAAATAAGAACAGCAAGTCGTCTCTAGTAAGTATAGACTAGCCTTTACGGTAATATATGGTATATAAAATATCCAATTAGCAATCGCAACGTATACTCTTCGTTCTTAACGACGAAATTAAGGAGCTTACAAATTAGCTTGATAGATCAGATGTATACGTATATAACAATTATTTTGCATGTATATTATATCGATTTATAAGCGATAGATTGTAGTAACTGTTAATCTATAATGGTAAAAAAATTTTAACGGAATTTAAGCTGGGCTTAGATTTTTCGTGTAATCATTTAACTAATCATAGTCCGTAGTATTATGACCGAAAAACTAAAAAATGATAATCGTAGCCAATATCTTATACTATAAACAGGAAACCATTGCCGGCACCTTAAGTTAGCAATATTCTCCAGTTAAATTTAAATATTATCAAAGTAACATGCGATAATGTAATTGCTATTAGATTACAAACTCCAATATCTGATCGTTAAGAATTATTTATTACGCGAATCAATGAAGAATCAAATTAAATAATTCCTATTTCAAGGGAATGATATTAACGGGACTTCATAGTTAATGGTTATGGCGTATTTTCTTTGATAATAATGAACATAAATTCTACTAAACTATCATTCAGCACTGTAGTCGTATCATTATGATGTCTCTATTGGGTTCCCTATGACTTCCAGAGGACAATTTTCAGACACTCCATTTCTTTCGCTCTAGCTATCGATAATACAGTTCCGTATTAAAGGTCGCCTTATTGCAGAATAATTTCTAGATTGTACCTTGTACAGTTGCATAAACTATTTGTTTCCAATTTTTCTATTTATCTATATTATCAAGTGCAATATTTACGTCATATAAAGATCGATTTCTACTTAAATATCATTGATTCTAGATTATCCGCTCTTCTAATATGTAGTAGAAAGTTAAAATTATTGATGTTATGATTCTAGTCATGTGGAAAAGAAAATAAATCGTTTAGTGAGTTTTAGTCAGAAAAGTCAACAGTGGGTATAAATTAACCGTACTGTAATCATTGGCAGCATTATTTTCTTACGCAAAATCCATTCCAAAGTTCAAGATGATAAAAATAAATTAATAAATATTACGAATTATGATAATATCACATTTATGGAATGTGAATGGAAATTGCAATTCAACTTTAGCCTTACTAAATATTGATTTAATTTTACTTATTCTCACTTCAATCGCAAATCAAATAAATCGATTTAGCTAAAAGATTTACCCCTGCTTTTAAGTCTGAAGGTATGGATAACTCAATATCTCTAAATTGATGATTATCTTAGTCTTTCAATATAGACAGTTAAAAAAAACTCTAATCTTGCAAATATTCTTAGAAAGGTTTCAAATAAATTTTTTAGCAACTGATCGAAGCATTATGGTGCTACATTTTGTACAAAAAGCATACATCATTTTCTACATTAAGTAGCAACTATCGCTACTCTATTTTTTTTATATTTTCTTTTAATGGGTCTTACCTACAGTATTACTGTAGTTTAAATAACTTAATGGATAATGGTTTATTTACAACTGATACTTTTATGCAAAGTATATTCGTTAAAGCTACTGCTACGTCCATAAATGGACGTAAGAAACAGATTATATAGAGTAAATTTATAGTAAACCAAAAATTTATTTGCATCGATACTTTGGAATTGATCATATCGTGTCCTAAATCATTTAATATAGTTGATTAGCTTTGATGAAATGGATATTTGAGAGAGTAAGCTTGCAATCAATGTCAAGCATTCGCTTACAAATAAACATTTGTGTAAAACAGCTATTACCGCCAACATATTTCATGGCTGCAAAATAGTCAGCTATGTTTAATGCTCTACCCTACTACTGTCAGCTATGTTTACATAAATAACTATTGATGAGTGCTACATTTACAATATCATTTTAGCAATGGCTATATTTGAATTCAGATACGTTTAATTCCGCATTGTTGGCTAAATACGGTAGCAATGAAGAAGATAGGTACTGCAAATAGATAATAACGTATGCTGAGCATTAGCGAGCATAGCATCAATTAGACAGAAATCTCATTCGAACGGCAAGCTATGCGAGTTAGGCAAGTTATAACTATTACCCTCATAGCATAAGCAGCTAAAGGAAATTTCTTCTAGACAATTTAGTACAGTAAGATAGTTTTAAAATCAACACGTAACGGAAGAGAGATCGTGAGCTCTATGGCTGTAGCTGAAAACGTGGACCAAGCTATACATATAGTAATTTATCGTTAGTTTATTGACATCAAAATTTACCGATAGTCTGTAAGACTAGAGATGTTTCAATACGCTGTGTACAGGTAAAACAGAATTTGATGCTTCGCTAAACCGAGCAGCAATTTAGATTAAGCTTAGGTGTGCTAGATAAATCTAGCAAGATTCAACAATTTAGTGCTACCTCCTGAACAATAGACTATCGACAACTGGCATATTAAGCTTCTTTAGAGAATTAAATAGAAAGAAAGATTGTTTGTACAGAATTAATCAGAGCAATGTACCTTACTAATTTTAACTGCAACATCAATAGCAATCATCGATTTAATGCAGTTTGCATAATTATTAATTTACCATTTAGCTATTGGTGCTACAAGTTACTTACTTGACTAGGGTTATGGTTTGTTGAAATAGTGAGAGCTATAACGGAGATAATTTTATGGTTTGGAAAAAAGTAAATTTACAGCTACCAACCCAAAACGAATTGCTTTTACATCATCGATATAATAATGTTGAAGTAATCTCAAGTTTTATTGATTTTCCATCTAAAGTTTAATCACCTATATAATTACTTTTAAAGGATAATAAGCCTACCAGCAAACGTCTAAATCCTAAGATGCCGAGAAATACTAGCTCTAGACATAGATCAAAACCAAGCAAAGGTAAAGACCTGTAATGAGGCTATCATCTCACAGTATAAGTCAATTATGTGATAATAAATGATTTTAAGTGTAATATTTATAATCAATTGGAAATGTTTCAAGTACTTTCCGATTTCATGACATCAAAATTGAGCTGTATTAGGGATTGAAAATGCTAGCACCTAAATTTTCAAGATTAATTATTTTGAGCACGTACAACTCCAGTTTAATGATATGCACATCAAGACAGGGAGATTAATTCTAGACCTACATTAAATGATATGCATCGATTCTGCATACTACAAAGATAAATCTTATCAGAGGATACAGAAGTATTTTACTTACCTCCATAGGTGCTAAGTATCTAAAGTTTCAAAACAATTTTTACTCAATTATAGAGCTAAATATGGAACTGAATCGAGATATGTAGCAAATGTTGTGCTATATAATTACTGTAAAAGTAGTTCAGTAACCCATGTACAATGAAAGAAATATCGTCTTCGTATCGCTTGACATTGATAAGTTATCTATAAATTAATATATTCAAGATTAAAAAATATATAATTAAGGTAATCTTCTCTGTCAGTTACTCTAAAATGCTCTCTATCATTAACTGCATACTTTGTTGTGGATACTGTTGCGTAAAAATTTAAAACTAGAGTGACATAACTAATGATTTAGTCAGAATGCATCAATATCATTTAAATCTCCAATAACATCAGTTTATTATTTATTTTAAATTCTTCTGATAAAATTTACTTACTATTTAAGTGTTAAATAGGCTTAATGAATTGATATAACGAACCTTAATTCATCTGCGATGCTTGATTGGGATATTATGCAAATAAAAACTTAGGTGAAGCCGTTCAAATTGTATCATCCACTGGCAAGCATACGTTCTCCCTAAATCATCGTGCTTTGATGAAGATTCTATTGACCAAGGAATTAAAAAACGTTCATGTTGTTTTGATATCTGTAGCTGGTGCATTTCGTGGAGGCAAATCTTTTCTTCTAAATTTCATTTTACATTATCTAATTACTAATGTAAGTTGATAAGAGTAAATTTGTGCTAAGCTGGAAGTAATTTAATCATACGATTGTAATTGCTGTTGCAATTGTTACCCAATATCAGTACTAGAAAATTAGATTAACTTGATTTTAACCGCACTAGATCAATTACAGTATTTTTCTGAAATGTTGGTGATGTGATCTCCTATATTAGCTAATCTTTTTCGTAGCAAACGTATAAAATATAAAATACAATATTGTTATAATAACGTACGAGCTTTATTAAATCGTCATCAGCAGTTGTTAACGATATTTATTTTACAGGAAATTGCTACTTCTTGTTCTGATACATCCGACGGATTTGCTTGGTCGGTTGGTTCCAATCGTCATACTACCGGCATTTGGCTTTGGAATAAACCAATTATGTATAAATTATCCAATGGGCAACAGGTTAGTTAGCTATACCATTAATCTTCATCTAAAATTAAAAACTCGTTATTGTGATAAAAATAAAATACAGTATTCTAATCATAAATTTATTTTAATTCTCTATTAACATTGACTAATTTTCATACTTTAATTGCCTTACAGATAGCAATATTGCTAATGGATACTCAAGGTGTCTTTGATTCTAAAAGTATAATCAAAGAATGTGCTACTATTTTTGCTTTAAGCACTTTATTAAGTTCCGTACAGGTAGGAAAATTGTATGACATTAATAAACAGCTTACGAATATCGTTAATGAAATGAGCACAAATAAAAATCTATTTTAATCTTTCCTGGATATAACGCAAGTATTCATTCAAGTGCCTCTATCATATTGTTTTTCTTGCATTTGTTACGAAATTGTGTTTAGATCTATAACTTACCTGGCAATATTCAAGATGACGATTTACAATTTTTGCAGGTCGGTCATAAGGAAGTATATTTGTTGCTTTCCTCTATACAGTAAAATAGATATCTTTATGATATTGTGAAATGAAAGTATTGGATAACATTAATTAAGTGAACCAGAATGTATTGCTACAGGTGTTTACGGAATATGGACGATTAGCGTTAAAAGAAACCAATCAAACACCTTTTCAAGTATGCCACTTATGAATAGGTTTCATTTCTATACGTACACGTATATCATGATCGGTCTTTAAGAGATTTTTAAACGATATCATGGCAATATTAACTGTAATCGTGATCATTATTTGAAGTAGTTTGATAATGTAATTTTGCTGCCTACATATATCGCGAAACATTATTAGCGAAATTTATTATTATTAGACCTTGCATATCTTGGTGAGAGATTGGTCATATCCATATGAATACGCTTATGGCAAGGATGGAGGCCAGAAATTGCTCGAAGACTGCATGAAGGTATAGTTACGATTTCAACGATGATTTGAACGTCACTACTTTTTTGCTACTTATTTAGGAAACATTTATGATTGAGATCATTGCCACAATTACTTATTTATGTATCAGCAAGGGGACACGTTGAATTCTTTTCTGACATCAAACTAGATTGCTATCAGCTACCGTATTTTTGCAAGCAGGTTTCTAAATTTAAAAAATAACTGATGATCTGCTCTTACACTGCAATAATCCACTTATAATTACTATGAGTATATAAGTATTGCACATTGAGTTATCAGTTGTAGAAAGAAAATTTTATAAACTTAACGTATCTGAGATCTGCTTAGTTTAGCTACACAGACAAAGGAAGCTTTCAATATGAAAAAAGTTATTTCATAGTTTAAAGTTGGATGATAATAAACCTGTAAGACATACTACGAGTTATGATAGATACGTCTATGCTAAGAATTATGTAGAGGCACTTGATTAGATGAAATAAGTTGTAAACGATGATAAAGGTAAAGATGGTTTTTAATTATCGGTAGGTGAATAGAAATTTAGCTGAGGAAAAAAAGCAATTAAGAATTCATCTTCAGTCTTGCTACGAGAAAATTACATGCTTTCTATTGCCTCATCCTGGTTTTAAGGTCGCCACTGATCCCAAATTTAGAGGAGAGTTATCAGGTTTACAGATACAGTAGATTTAATTCTTCTTATAAATAAATAAACTAGTCCAGATATCTGAGAATATTTTATCTATGCATTAATGTCTAGATAATGTTCGTAACTACATTATAAAATGTGCAAAATAGATAAAATTTTCACTGGTTTTCGCTTCTACTTAAATATTTATGCTATGATTGATTTTTATGACATGTCAAACGTTCTAATTAAATGAGAAAAGTTATACATTATTGTTTACTATTGCAGATATCGAGCCAGAGTTTGTTAATTATGTGCAAGAGCTACTTAAATATTTGATCGATGAAGAGAATTTAACGCCTAAGAAAGTTAACGGCCGCCTCATTACATGTAGAGATCTTTTTCATTACTTTAAGGTCAGTAATACTAAGTTAAGTATTGATAATATGGTTTACATCTATTTAGGAGTTACTATATGTCGACTGATTGAATAAATAAATGAATTCATTTAATACGACATCCACCATACACAATAAACATCATCATCTTAAAAAAAAAATTGAATTATAATGCTTTACTTACTATTGAATTAAGTCAGTTATGATTGATAATAATGAATTGAATAAATTAGAAAATATAACAATATCATAGTTTCGATGATGGATACTCGTATAACACCTAGGATATGCCTGTTTGTCTTTCTAATAATGGTATAATTGTTTGGTTTAGGTATTTATGGACATCTATGCTGACGATCAGATACCATCACCGAAAACGATTTTTCTGGTTGGTATCTTCAATTGCGATGCTACTTATTAACGAATCTCATAAGAGAATATTAGTTACTTCTATGAACGTTGCTCAATGAGTCAATTTATACATAATATTAATTGAATTAAATATACTACCATTACTACACAACGATACCTATTACAATGCTGCTAATTTTAAAGTTGTTTCAATAATTTAATCTATTCGCATTAGAATTAATAGCAACATGGATTCTCTATATTGTATAAAACCATTCCATTTGTTTGTATAGGCTTATTTGGGAAGTGACTGTTAAAATGTTTTTCTTTGACTCTAGGCTACCGCTGAAGCTAATCATATTTCTGCAGTGATGACTGCCAGAGATTATTACAATAAGGAAATAGAAAAGGTAAAGGATATTTTAGACGCGATTAATATTAGCATGACGCTATCGAGTAATCCATAATTTAAATTGATAATATCATCAAGATTTGTGGGCCGACGAGATCTTACGTTTCTCCGGATGCTTTATTGAAAGAGCATCGGCGTATAGTTGAAAGTGCAATTCAATGTTATAAAAAAATACCCAAGATTGGAGAACAGGAGCTTGGTCACTCTTATCTTAACAACTTGAAAGATCAGTTGCAAAAAGAACTGAAAATGATCATGAAAAGGAATGAAGTCAAAGGAAGGAGGCTGTTGACTTCCTTTCAACCCATGACTATCTTATTCATTATTATTTTTGTAATCATAGCCGTCCAAGCTACCGGAATTATTCGGCTGTTACTTCATCATATCTTTTCCTCGGAAAGCCTGTTGATCATTATCTTTGTTCTCGTACTTGTGTTTGTTTTAAAATCCTCAGGTTAAATAAATTTTTATCTACTGTTGGCGTGATGTATCTTCTTTATTACAGCCAGGTATTGTAGGCAGACTATTTCCTAGAAAGGGCAAACAATTCGCTTGATTAAAATACCCTTACCTATCTTACTGTGGCCATCGGTAGCTAGTGGTTGCAGTAAGCAGGAAGTAGACCAGAAAAAGATTGGTACTTCACCTTCGTCTCAACCTGGCTCTCCATCAAAAATTTGTAATTCTTCCCTTCCCGGCTTTAACCTAGCTCTATCCCCAGGAAAACAAATTCGTACTTCTCCCCGGCTTAATCTAGCTCTCCCAATAAAAAAAATTGTACTTCTCTCCCCTGGCTTAACTAAGCCATGGACTACTAGAAAAACACCGGCATTTTTTCTAGTAGTCCATGGCCCAGCTCTCCACCCCGAAGAAATGAACTTATGCTCATCCGCCATAACCTTGCTCTGCCTCCCTGCAGTAAGATAGTGTAACACGATCACCGCAACGTCAATCACGAGATGCTTCAATAGCAATACACAACGTAATAACACTATGACACCAGTGTAACATCAACACATACTGTACTGTAGGACGATAGCACGACGCGGCAAAACGATCGACCAATCGGCTTGGTGTACAAATACACTCGTAGTCCATCGATCGTGCTACTGCAATCGTGTTTCGTGCGTGACACAGACTTTGTAACACGGTTGCATTAGCACGATCGATGGACTACTAAACAAGGTCTTTTCTGGTAGTCCATCGCACCAAAATGTCTACAATCTAGATACTATCAACGCTATGTTACAGATGGATTGTACATTGTGCAGTATGAATTCTAATTATTATACATATCGATAGTGTTATACATTAATTAATTCTATTTCTGACTGCGCCGTTATGCTTTAATGCTATAAATGTTGCCATGAATCCTTCCAGTGCGTCGTAATCAAATTGATTACATACGCAGCTGTCACAACTATCCTTGCGCAGCAAGAAACAACACAGTACTTAACTAGAGAAAATTTCATTTTAATCCGTAAGACTACTTGCCTAGCCTACGGTACAGTAACTGAAATCTTTGCGAAGTACGCACACTACCCACAATACAAATATGCAATATAACTCTCGTCACTTTTTATTGATGAACTATTCCACTTATATGCTCTATTAGTCATAGTAAACATGTTGACTGCGCCATTAGTATTTTGACAATAATATATCACGATTCATATACGATCATTTGAAGTAATTAACAATTTCATACAGAATTTTATCTCGACTACGAGCTCTGTCAAATTTTCATATTTCAAATACCTACTGGAAACATTGACTATTCCGTTATAATATCATAAGGATTTACTTTATCACTCATAACAATAATTCCTAAAGTAGAGCTTATCATCTATATAAGTTATTTTCATGACTGCCACAGCAGCAAAGTATATTGAAGCGTTCAGACAGTGCAAATACAGGAAGTATCACGAGTGAGATATTCAACTGGTACTGTGCAGTGCGCAGTATATACTGTATGTTAGCGGCCATGTATGAGAAACTATATGTATATGCATCCACCTTATTATTTCAAATTATATAATGATGGATGAGATTAATATCCGAAACTTTTCAAGATGAGCCTGAAAACGCTTTACCATTAATTACATTTTTTGGGTATTAGTTAATAATGCTTTTGCAGTCACGAGAGAGGTATTTCATTTTTTACAGTACGGTGCATCAATCAGGTAATGATTTTGCTGCCTTCCTTTAGTGAAAAGGATGCGAAACTGTTACGTTTAGAAATCCATTTTACTTCAAGTTTTCATTTTAGTTTGAACTGAAACTGCAATTTTCATGTGCATAGAGCGGCCGAGTATGAGAGCAGAGTGAGTCGAGTCAATCGAGTGCATAGAGGTGCCAAGTTCTTCTTCCTCTATGGTTGAATGAGACTTGTTGTGCCTGTTTACAGTACTGTATTACAGACAGTTTACAGTACACTACTGTACTGTGGGTACAGTATGTGCCATAGAGTTAGAAGAAAACAATTTAGTTAGTCTCTCTGGAATGGGCTTCAGGGTGTAGCGTCTGCAGCGCATCAAGTACTGTACAGTACAGTGTACAGTACAGTACAATACTGTACGGTGTGTTTTTTTTTTAAGTGTTTTCTATGCCGTTTCCGTATTAACTATAGAACAAGAATAAAGATCTTTTTCTGTATGATTATTCTATTTATTTATTTAAATCATTTATTATATACAACAGGGGAAATAACTCGCGAACTTTTTCCTCTTTTAACGAGGCAGTCCAGTAGTTGTTAACGTACTGTGCAGTAGTGGAGACAAAATCTCTATAATGCAAGTAACAAGCATAACACTTTGATTGTGATGTACGGTCGTGTGTAACAACTTTGTATTCATTGTGCAACGTGTCACTTAATTTGTTCACTCTATCGTACCGCTTGCAGCAAAACCATGTACACTATTGTACAGTACTGTACTGTACTGTATAATGTACAGTAGACGTGGGCACAGTCAGGGACTGCTATGGAGAAATTTCGAATTTTCTCTTGAATTAAATGATGTAATGTACTGTACTGTACAGTATAGTACTGTAAAATGGAATGGCACAGTTGGCTCCAGTCTAGTCTCAGCTTCATGCAAAGCACAGCTAAAAATACTGAAAATACTACACTACAGTACAGTACAGTACAGTACTGTACTGTACTGTACTGTACTGTACACTGTACTGTACACTGTACAGTGCATCACCGTACCGTAGCTTGAAGCGCGTCCTTTTTTTCTTGACATCTTTTTTACTGTTTTAGCTGTTGTACAGTAAAGCATTATTATTATTTTTTTTTTTACCTCTATGACCTCTACAGTACTGTACTGTACAGTGTACAGTACTTGCACTTGCAGTCTCCATCCCTCTCCGGCTCTCCCGCTCTTCTCTTTCTTTACTACAGTACAGTATCTACAGACGACTACAGTACTGTGTTTCTTTGCCTTCGTACTATACAGTACAGTACGGTACAGTACAGAACGTGCTATTTTCCGTCACCGTTTGAGCCTTCTACAGTGTACAGTACAATACAGCATGAAAAACCAGTCAGATTTTTACTGTAAAAGTGTAGTGTACAGTACACTGTACAGTACAAGACATACTGTACAGTGTACAGTACAGTACAGTACTGTACAGTACTGTACAGAATCTTCCAGTGCTCACGACTGTAGCCTACAGTACATACTGTACAGTACACTGTTCAGTACAGTACTGGGCTGTTAGGTGCAGCAGAAAGGTAGGGGCAGTCGTACTGTAGATTACAGTACTAATACTGTAAAAGAAAGAAGTTCGACAGGAAACGCACACTGTGGACAGTAGTCAAGTATCAATAGGTTTTTATACCACTGATCATTGCGTGATAGTGGTATACAGTGCAAACTACAGCGCTAGCAGTGAATTAATAACACCAAAGTGTACTCATCTAATTTCTCTTTCAGACTAGTGCCACACTATTTGCATCTCGAGTGACATTTGTAGGCAAATTTTTGTTCAAGGCTATGGAGAAACGTATTGAATTAGAGAGAGGAAAAAATGATCCTGCCAAGGTAATGATTGCAGTATTTTGACATCTATTTAAAATGTTAATATACTTTGTGCTGAAAAAGTTCTGCACAAGATCGTAGAGCAATGTTTTAATTCCAGCGCGCAATTTTTACACACATTCATGGTATTACTGGTAGACTCACAGTGATGACTGTATGGCGCATTTCGGACTCACAGTCAACCCATACTGCACGCTATTGACATCGTCTACTGTACCGTATACTTGAGCGCATTTGTAAGACTTGTTTTTACTTCATTTCAATGTGTTACAGTACGCATACGCTGCTACTGTATTGTAGTATACAGTATGTGGTACTGTACTCATTGCTGTTGTAGCAGTTTCTAGCAAGAGCAGCCATCAATGTCCTTTGTGTAGTGTCAATGAAGTAAGCTGACAGTGTAAGCATACTACACTATTGCAGTGTTTGATGCAGAAGAGTAGCTTTCAGTAGGCACGTTTTTATCTTGCAAATAGACTAGCAAGCTATTCAATGATGGAGACGTAAACTCGCGCGCAGATGACCACGTTTTACACGCTCGTACTAGTAGTAGTTGACATCGATGCCTTGATAGTACGTTGTCCTAATACCCATAGAAGACGATTCAATGGCAGTGTACAACTGTGTTGCAGTGCGTTACGCCGATGCAGAATTATTCCTAGTCATCAAAGTGCTTCATAAAAAACCAGCGTAATTTGTGTAGACAATTTGAACTTCGTTGACCCTCTTGACGGTAAAGAGTTGATATTGTCTTACTATCACTGTTACTCTACTCAGCACAGTATGGAAATGACCGATTTGCTTCATTGAACGCACACATATAGTAGGTGCAAATACTATGCATTGATGATACTGTATCATGGCGAGTTTCACCACTTGTAAGCGACAGCTTCTACTACTGTTATGATATCATGGTCTTGTCTCTGCATTTTTTTTATTTCCTTTACCTCTATAGTCTTGACTCTTAGCACTAACATATAGATGCATAATTAATCTCTACGATTCTGTACTATCTGTAAATACTTTGACACTTGAGTGACACTTAACACTCTTTTGTTGCTCGATATTCACGTTCAACAACCAACGTAAGACGTCTACGAATAACTTTAGTATTGATATTTTTTATCCAGCAATGATGAGCGATGATACACAGAACGGATCACTTCATTTTTCGTTATGATGTCATTGCGAATGTTGCAAAAGATTGAGCTAAACCTTCCAATTTAGCACTGAAACGTTCTGCTAACTTTGCAGTACAATCTTGTGGTTCAAACTTCTGGATCGGTACTTACGGTATACTAGCGAATAGATCCTATCATGATAAAAAAGAGTAGTTGACAAACGGCTAATTAAATGGAAGGCATAAATTCACAGCTATTCACCACTGTAATGTAGCATGTTTTCGTCGATGAAGAT